CTACTGATGCAGCAAGAATCATGTCATGTAACAACCACCAGCATGAATTCACCCACCATGCTTTTGTGCTTGTGCAGGGAATCCCAGCATCTCCAAGGTGATGGCTGATGAAAGCACCATCTCTGATGTCCCTCTGAGGCTGGCAGGCTGGCCACCAAACGTTTCCACAGCCAGCAAGAAGAGGAAAGCCCAGTTTCCAGGCACGAGCTATGGCGAGTCAAGGTGCCACCTCAACCATTAACATCAACAGCAGGTGTAAGGAAGAACTGGACGAGGGTGTGGATCTGGATCTGTAGCAGTAAGGGTGGAGATGAGGCATAAAGAGTGCCTCCTGCATAAAGACTGGCATCCCCTGAGCATGGGGGAAAGGGACAGTGAGAGGGGCCTGTGGAGCAGGAGGTTTTATGGAGTTGTTTTTTTCTGGCAGCCCAGGGTCCCCACCAAAAGCTCTGTCTCAGGAGGACATGGTCAAGCACAGATACTGCTGTGGGGAGGTTTGCAGGCAAGGTGCTAGAGCCAGCTCCACAACACTTTGATGTGAAGTGAGGATAGATGGTGAATTCAACTAACAAACCTGTGAGTGTCCTTATTTTTAGATATTTTCTTTAAATCCAGAGGGGTAAATGAGCTCTGAAGGGTTGGAGATAGACCAGTGGGAGCAGAGGAGTATGAGGGGGACTCGTATTTGAAGCTGCAGTGCTTCCTAGTGCTCTCCCTTTGGTGCCTGGCCTAACTCTTGTGGTTTTCAAATATTGACACAGCTGGAAAACAGCCTCTCTGGAGCTGGGCTCGTGCACTCTGTGTGAAGCATGTACCCTCTGTCACAGCAGAACTGGGAGAGAAGGGGGAGCCCCTGGGGGAAAGGGAGAACCCTAGTGCTTACTGCTACCCAGTGACTACCTTTTTTTTTTTAATTCTGAGATAATAAGAGAGAAAAAGTAGGAGCAATTCTGAATCAGGAGGCCTTCACAGAAACATTATTTGTCTAGCAGTTAATCTGAGGAGGTAGGAGCAGGTCTGTGCTGTGCTGCACGTATCACTTGGCTCCAGGATGACCTTAGCTGGCCAGTCCTGATTGGGGAGCACATGGGGTGGCTCCCACTGGGCACCTGGTGAAGATGCCACCACCATGTCTTTGTCTTAGAAGTAGTGTGTTCTTATGTGAATGAGCTTTTGCTTGACAGCAAAATGATGAATGAAATAGAAATATGAAAGGGGCTAGAAAAGCCCTGGAGATCACGTTGCTGGTGAACCTCAACATGGATGGGACCTGTGCAGCGTGCAGTGGCCTGACTATCTGGCTGATGCTGTACAACTGGGGGTTTGCAACACCTGGAGGGGGGCAGGATGATCTAAGCTATACCCTTTCTTGTGTTACATCCACTAAACAGTGTTTTAATTCATACATTATGGGTTCTGAGTGCCTTTCTTTCTGGGATCCACATCAAACACTTGCACCAGTGCATTACATCTGGTGTAGCTGACAGGATGCTGGTCAGAAACACCTTACTGGAAGAAGGAAGGGTGTTTGCTGGGTCCCCTGCTCTGCCATGGGGAAGGGTCACACAGTATGCTGCATTCTAATACTGATAAATCATTATTCTCCAGGGCAGCAGACACATGGATCACAGGGCTGGCTGCAGATCTTGTGCATCTTCTGAAGAGGTAAAAATTGATTGCTGAAGATGGTAAAAATGGATGCATAAATAGAACAATGTTGACTTAAGCTTCAGTGGTTGCCTGGTTATTAGAAAGATGAGACAGAGATGCAGAAATGAAAAAAAACAAAAATACTGAGAATACTGGAAGCTCTAATGAAGGGAAATACTCTGGTGATCCACATGACAAGCTGAGATGAGAAGGTGCAAGGCAGTGCTGCACTTGGCTGCAGGGATAAACTCAGCCAGCTAAACCTAACTGGGGAGCTTGCAGGTTGCTTCTGCTTGGCACTTGCTGGTGGTGCCACCACCATGTCCTCCTCTTTATCTTCAAGTAGAGCACCATATTCATATGTGAACATGCTTTTGACTGACAACAGAAATGACAAATAGAGCTGTTTACTTCCAAGGAAATCCTGTAAAAAAACCCTGAAGACCATGACAGTGGTGAACTTCAGCACAGACTCTGTGGAGCATGGCATGGGCTGATGCTGGACTGCTTGGTGTTCCCAGCATCTGAAGGGCAGTAAGATTATCTAATGCCAGCTCATGTTGCCTTCTATTATTATCCCCAGCAAATGGTATTTTAATCCATACTTTACAGAGTCTGGGTGCTTTTCTTATTGGGATTCACAATGAGCACTTGGTCCCACAGGGAGGGGAGGAGTGGTGGTGGCAGTGGCTTTGATCTCACCACTCATCCAAAACCTGTTTGTGCCCTGATGCCTCCTCCCTGCCCCTGCCTGCACGCTCCACCTAAATGCTGCCTCCCCCTGCCAAGTAAAAAGGGGTGTTTCTAGGGTTGTGCCTAATCCTGCATGCACACACTCCTCCAGCCAGCTCATCTCCACCCAGGGCACCCCAGCTGTTCCTAAAGGTGTCTCTCAAAATTCCAGGGGTGTGCGTGGGCGAGGAGATTCTCTTAGATGAGGGAGGGGGGGCCCACCTCTGCAACTGCTCTTTGTACCAGTGGCCACAGAGTCATTCCTCAGCCACCCTAATGCTAATATTTACACTCCTTCTAGGGAGATAAACATTACAGATGTAGCTGCTGCACGGAGGCACAGCACAAAACATGCTCCCTGCTGGCAGAAAGCATTTTCGTGCCATATGGCAGTTCCTGAGACTGCTCCTCCCTGCCCTGCTTTCTGCTGGTTTCTCACTCTGCCAACTTTCTGCTTTCCCAGCTCTGGTAGCCCAGTTCTTGATTCACTAGCTGATGTCATGACATCCAAACTATTCTTGCCTGCCTGCTCCTGGAAGCCCTTGGTTTCCTAGCTGGGTTTGGGTGTGCTACCTCTGTGCTCATCGCTTCCTTTTGGATGGACTTTCCTGTGTTCCACTGGAGCAGGAATAAAAGGGGGAGCCCAAACTTGATGCCAGTTTATCCTCCTCCACTCTGGTGGGAACTGTAACGCAGTGGGAGGTGTGCACTGCCAATGGCATTGCTGACCTAACTGGAAGGAAAATTTGAATTTCACCCTGGCTGCCCCAGGCACCTTCTGCTCCTTGGCATGGGCAAGGGAAAAGGGGAGGGGACTTAAACTGCGTGTTCTGGTGTCAAAATAGCTGGGGCTGAGCTTGCTGGTGACTGCAGGGAGCAAAGACAACTAGACTCTAGGGGGAAATGCAGGTGTTGCTCACAGCTAAAGAGAGGAGAAGGACTTAGAAGGGCTAAGGAGCTCTCAAAGTCTTGCTGTGTGTGAGGCTCAGCCTCTGAGAAGGGACCCCAGCCAGTGATGGTGTCAAGAGTGGCATGGGAGCAGAGAGAAAAGGAGAGAGCTTCTCTGGCTGGGGTGCCTGTGAGCTGGCAGAGACCTCTCTGTGCCAGCCCAAGTTCTCCCTATGCCCCAAAACAAGCTTGTCCTCTTGCTCCTCATGCCTTTTTCCTCATTATGAAATGAGATGCTAATTTTGGTCCCATGGGGATCCAGAGATGTTTTGCTTGGCTTGCACCAATTAAGGAAGAAAATGAATGCACCCTGAAGGGAGGGAAAGATGCCAAGAGAGGAGGGATAAAAGGAGCTTCAGTCCCACTGTCCCTGACACTCCACGACCTCTGGAGCCCTGTTTCTTCATTCTGGTTCAATATTAACCCAGCAGGGGCTGTGACTCTGCTTATTCTGCTCCCTTTGCAGCCAGGGCTGCACAGCATGGCGCACAAGAGAACCAGTGTACTGAGGGGCCTGCTCCTCTCCAGCCTTCTGCAGCTCACACTGAGCCACGATGGAGGTAAGACACAATGGCACACAGAGGACAGTGCCAGCGGGTGTCAGGAGGAAGAAAGATGGGGTTACTTCTTGCCAGGGGTAAAGCTGCTGGCAGATTTTCTTGGTAAGGCAGGAGGACCTTCTGAAAGCTTGAAGCTGGGTGTGAAAGGGTGATGAGAGTGGAGTGAGCATAGAGGGCTTTCCTACATGGGAGGATGCAGCAGCATCCAGCAGCTGGGGACAACAGCTCAGTGGATTTTGTGGGTCACCTGGGAGATGCTGGGGAAGGGGAATGTGGCTCAGTCCAGGACCATGTGTAACACAACTGTGGGCTAGAGTTCCTCAGTGGACCTGGGTGGCTGCAATTCCCCATTGTTTCCCCAGCTGTCCCTTACCTCTGCTTTATGCCACCTTCTTGCTCACTGCTCCTTTTCTCTCCTCAGAGCCTCTAATTCATCTGTCTTTTCTTAGTATGAGGTTAAGTCCTTGCTGACCCACTACTGTATGGGGGAAGACCTATCTAAAGGTCTCAAACTGGGGTCTCTGAACCAAGCCATGCCTAGTGGAGTGGTCTGGGGTTGGTGAGACAGAAATCCAGTGTCTGACAGGGAGCAGTAGCAGGCTCCAAGCAAACAGTCCTCTGCCTAACTGCAAACGAGCAGAGCAGCTTTGCTGAGGCTGGCAGAGGATTCCCATCACTTCTGTTCCTGATGTCTGAATGGCAGAGATCCTGCTCTGCCCATCATGTGCAGGCCTGACAGGGCCTCTCCTCTCTGTGTGCTGCACTGGGGGAGGCTGGGCTGAGGGACCGTCGCATCAGCTGCCTGGGATTTTGGGAAACTGCAAGAGGGGACAGAGGGACCCTCCTGCTGCGAGCACCCGTTTGACTGGCAGTGTTCCCACCCGGCAGTTTTCCTGGAAAAGGGGCAGGCACTGTCACTGCTCAAGCGCCCACGACGTGCCAACAAGGGATTTCTGGAAGAGATGCTCAAGGGAAACCTGGAGCGAGAGTGCCTGGAGGAGACGTGCAGCTACGAGGAAGCTTTTGAAGCCCTGGAATCCACAACTCAGACGGTAGGTACGCGCGTTGCCAGGGGGCGTTCCCCCCGCCAAGCCCTGCAGGGAGGGACCAGCAGGTCGCCCACACAGCCAGGGGCTGGGGGCTTAAAACTCCATGGGGTGAACCAAAGATGAGGGTGATGCGTGCGTGCCCCAGGGAGAGCTCAGGATTTCTTAGGGAGAAATTTCCCTGCCTCTCTATTTTAACCACGAAGTGAAAAGGAGAGAGTCTTCCCATCAGTCCTGAATTGTATCTTCCAGCAGTTCAGCACAGTGTCATACACACTGGAACTGCTTCAGTCCCAAATTCTCACAGAAGAGCTGCCTTAGCAATCAGACACAAAGTGGTGTCTCACCTTGGGCCAGTGCCTTAAGATCCTCAAGCTCCTCTGAGCTGAAGCACAGTACCCATGCTGAATTCCACCCCCAAGAATACAACAGCAAACAGATAAACAGTTAGGAGTCTAAGCCAGCAAGATACAACCCCTGTGAAGCATTTCTAAAGCAATCACCCCCAGTCTGCACAGCAGAGACACAGACCCAAAGACCTGAGTAATAGCTACACGTGGATCTGTGGTCTCAGAAGTTCTAGGTTCAGCTCCTTGGACTTCTGCACTGTAGCTCAAGCTCTGCTTCCTGGCAGGCTGATGAAGGTTGCAAGCATCTTTGGTCTTCTTAGAAACAACAGTACTCTTTGGATTCCTCAGCCTGATGAATGGGAACGTGGGTTTATATCAGATGTTTTGCTTTATTTGGCTCTGTAATGATTGATATCAACAGAGCTAGGTTAGTCTGTTGTGATGGAGCATTCTACTGGTTTGAACTGCAAAAGGTCTAATGTTCTGTGTCTTTGCTCTTAAATATATAATTTATTTTTTTTAAATTTTCTTTTACAGGAGGCATTTTGGTCAAAATATCAAGGTAAGTTGCTTTAAGCCCTGTGGGTGTTATGCTGCCCCTCAGGAAGCACTGTCCCCTCTTGGGAAAGATATCTCCCTACTCTCTTACAAGAGCTCACTTTCCAGGACAAAGCACTTACGTTTTGTCCCTAGATGATAAACCAGTTCAAACTATGATGCTTGTTTGGATTCCTTTCGTATAATGTGTTTCTTTCTTCTTATTTTGCTAGCGTGTCAGGGCCTGAGAAAGTCCAGGGCACTTCTGGATGCTTGTCTAGAAGGTAAGAAACTCATGTTGACGTCAATCCCAGATAGAGTAAGTGCCAGGAACTTGCTTCCTGCAGTTTGTAAAGAAAAGAAAAATAATCTGAAGTTGGTGAAGCCATGTGATTAGGCAGAAAAATAGCTGGAGTGGAGTTGGAAATTCCTTTCTTCCTGTTTTTTTCCCCACTAACCACTTCACAAACATCTAACTACCCCAGTGAAATAGCATGGGGTAGGTATCCTTCTCCTTATGACACAGTCAGGTGTCCCCAGGCTCAGCCTCTCTGAAGGGCTTTGACCTTCACCTACAGCCAAAACAAGGCACAGAACCTCAGGGACAGCTTCCTCTGACCAAGCTTGCACAGGCTCATACATGCAGCAGAAGTTGAAGGGATTTTTGGGCTGGTACCTCTGACCTTGGAAAGTGCAACACCCATTTCCACTGGCCCTGGCTTATGCTCTGTTGGGATTTTGACAGGTAACTGCTCTTATGATCTGGGCCAGAACTATCGGGGGACAATCAGCTACACCAAATCAGGGATTGAATGCCAAGTGTGGACAAGCAAATACCCACACATACCTAAGTAAGTTCATCTCCCTCATACCCCTAAAAGCTTCTCTGGGGTGTCCTTCCTTCCTAGCTTAACCAGCTTTTTTTCCTCACAGATTTAATGCCACCGTTTATCCCAACCTCATTGAGAACTACTGCAGGAACCCAGACAACAACACAGAGGGCCCGTGGTGCTACACCCGAGACCCAACGCTGGCACGGGAGGAGTGCCCCATCCCAGTGTGTGGTATGGCTCAACACACCCTCACTGGCAGGCAACACTGCTCTTGGACTGACACTCAATGTGCCAAGGAAGGGGAGAGGGCTGCAAGGGATCTGACACCAACAGAAGTCAGTCAGAGTAGAGGAGCTGCATCTTAAAGAGTGAAGGAGTTGAGGAGGGAAAGACATGGAGTTACCCATGCATGTACCTTGGCTGAATTCCTCTCATGTGTGGTTTTCCCTAGACTACACGAATCTAGATCCAAATTAAATCTGGTGTCAGCAGTCCCCGCTTTTGCCAGTCGGGAGCATCCCAAAATCCTGCTTCAGCTACCTCAAATTTGTGTCAGCAACGAGTCGTGCTGGGTTTTCCTTGTCTAAATTCCTACCTTTAGGACAAAACCATTCCAGCCTGAGCTTGACTGCCTGCCTTAACATTCAGTCATATGAGGGTTGCAGTTTAATACCCACAATCTCAAGAAAAGAGAAGATTCCCCTCTCTTATCACTGCACTTGATAGGATAGAGAAACACAGCCCTACACTGACACCTTCCCACTGTGCATCACAGGCTCCCCTGGGGCTTGGCCTCTGTCTCAGAACTGGTAGAAAGCAGAGACCCTTCTCACAGCAGAAGCTTCTCTTCCAAAAGCAGATACTAGAGCCAACGACAGAGCCTTTTGGCCACAGGGTGTTCTGAAGTTTTAAAAATCATTACCATTGCCCTGCTCATTTCCAATATGAGAAACTAGAGATGCTGGTCTGCTTTGAGGCAATTTGGGACCTGTACTATCTCCATTCACTAGCTGGTTTCTGACCTACAGTAGCTTACTGTTACACTTGCATGTGTGTAGATACAGCAGGACCACAAAAGCCCTGGTTCTGTGTGCAGCTCCCTTGCAATCATGTTGACATGAAACAGTCTCACACAGAAGCATTGATGAAGGTGGGTGCCACTTGCTCTGTGGCTGTCATGTCCCAGGGTGAGTAGTCATACAGAGAATTTTGGGGATTCCTCCAGTGCACAAGGAGAAGGCAGCTAGAGGCCAAGCAACTGCCACAGGACAGGTTATTTCCTCACTCAGGAAAAGCTGCTTAAAGCTTGCAGCTGTTAGGAGACTTTCAAGAAGGAGTGTGGAAAGTCTAGCAGGAAAAATTTTAGATATAGAAACACTGGCAGAAGTTAAGTTTGCTATTTTAGTAGCATATCAGAGTTCAAGGCTTGCCCAATTATGGTCCAGTTACACATAGCTGAAGCTCTAACACAGCAGCTTTATGACACCTGATACACCTACACATCCCTTGAGCTGGTTCTCAAAGGTACCCCAGAAAGGAACACAATATCCTCAACATCTTAGTGGCAAAGAAAGAAAAGTGTGATGAATGGTGCCAGCCTCACCTCCTGTTGAAAGAACCACCCCAGACACTGCAGTATTGTAGAGGGCCAGCACAGGCGTGGGAGCTCCCAAACAGAGTGGCATACCTGATGGAACTCTGGGCTTTAGCAAAGGGGCTCTGGCTGAGTGCTGCTGAGTGCAAAGCTCCAATCACAGCTCTCTGTCTTCCCAGGTCAGGAAAGGACAACAGTTGAATTTACTCCACGGGTGACCCCACCAGCCCCGACGGAGCCCTGTGAGCAAGAGAAGGGCATGCTTTACACTGGGACCCTCTCAGTCACCATATCTGGAGCGAAGTGCCTGCCTTGGAACTCTGAGAAAGCCAGGGAGGTGCTCCGTGGGAAACACCTCGACCCGGAGGTGCATCTGCTGGAGAACTACTGCCGGAACCCGGACGGGGATGACGAAGGCGTCTGGTGTGTCACAGATGAGCCACCCAACTTTGGCTACTGTGCTCTGCACTACTGCGGTGAGAAGCCTGCATGGGCTGGGGTAGGCCCACTGCTCAGGCAGCCACACACAACAGCAGCATGGACAGCTAGGGTGAAGCGCTTGGCCTGGGAGGCACAGACAAGGAAGTATGGGGAGGTCCTGTTTGTCCAAATATCACCTGTACAAACCTGCTGTAGGTGTACAGAGCTGTTCCATGCCACAGGCCTTCTGTTCTCCCTGACAACTCACAGTGGTGAGCAAGGAGCGTTAAAAAGAGCAGTGGTTTTAAAACATTGCTCCTTCATCAGCCCCACTGCGTGTGGAAAGGAACAGTTACATTGCTGGTAATTACAGCAACTACAGGTAGGCCTTTTATCATGTCTGTCTTTGTGTCTCTCAGACAGCTCGCTAGAGGATGAGAACGAACACTCAGAAGGAATATCAGGACGTTCCACCCGTCCTGGAGAGTTCAAAACCTTCTTTGATGACAAAACTTTTGGTTCAGGCGAAGCAGGTGAGCAGAACTCGAGATACAGCATCACAGCTTGTAGAAAGGCTGCAGCTTCTTCCCACTGTTCCTCAGAAACACCAGCTTGCCAAATGCTCTCAAAAGCGGGGGGAAGATATTTAAATTCCTTGAAGGACCCTCAGAAGTCAATCTCCAGTTACAGTTATGGAGCTAGCAAGCACTTCCTTCCTAGGCTCTTGCAGCTTAGCATGCTGACTGCAGACATTTCTCCACTGTCAGTCAGGTATGAGTAACAAAGCCAGATTACCTGGTTTTTTTTCAGACTGTGGTACTCGTCCTTTATTTGAGAAGAAAAAGATAACAGACAAAAGTGAGAAGGAGCTGCTGGAGTCCTACATAGGAGGCAGAGTTGTCCACGGGGATGATGCAGAAGTTGGCAGCTCCCCCTGGTAAGCATTATCTTTGCATGGTCCTTCATAGGGAATTGTGTCTCCTTTCTCTTGGGTTCAAGCAGTGGCAAAGAAAAGGTCTCTCCCAGCTCAGGCAGCACACAGGAATTACAGCTTCTCATCAAAGCTTGTGCAAGTAGTTGACAGGGCAGTACTAAAATAGCTGGAAAGCCAGCCACACCTTTAGTCCTGCTAAGTCTTCCTCCTTCCTTGTCTCTCAGGCAGGTGATGCTCTTCAAAAAGAGTCCTCAAGAGCTGCTGTGTGGTGCCAGCCTCATCAGTGACAGCTGGGTCTTGACAGCTGCTCATTGTCTTTATTATCCACCCTGGGACAAGAACTTAACCACAAATGACATCTTGGTGCGGATTGGCAAGCACATAAGGTCAAAGTAAGAGCCCGGATGAAGTGAAAGTGAACTAGCCTTCCTCTTGGAGTAGTGAGATACAGTGAGGTCAGGCTATCATTCAGTGTCTGAGGAGACAGACCTAGCCCATGGCACCTGCCTCTCAGTAGGGGGATCTAATTTGCTGCCCTGGCTAATCATAAAGGTTAAAGTGAAAGGGAGGACAGGAGCATGGAAAGTCTAAAGGGGTACTCCAGCGTAAAACCGGTATTGTCTCAGAGGGTACAAAGCACCTGAGATTATCACCAGCCCCACGAGACTCTCAGTTGCTACTGTACAGCAAGTTCTTCCCTTTCAGATACGAAAAGAATAAAGAGAAGATTGCTCTGTTGGACAAAATCATCATCCATCCCAAGTACAACTGGAAGGAGAACATGGACCGAGACATTGCACTCATGCACTTGAAGAGACCCGTCATTTTCAGTGACCACATCCACCCTGTCTGCCTGCCTACCAAAGAGGTCGTGCAGAGGTGAGGAGACTGTCCCACAGTCCTAAAAATACAGGCTACAGAAGCCTCCTTTGGGCCTTCAAAAAAGAAAGAACCCCCTTGATACCTTACTGAAGCCACTGGCAGCAAGAGAGGCTGCTACCATCCATTTGACTGTGCTCACGCTTCCTTCCACAGGCTGATGCTGGCAGGTTACAAAGGGAGGGTAACTGGTTGGGGAAACTTGAGAGAAGCATGGGCCACCACCCCAAGCAACCTCCCCACGGTTCTGCAACAGCTCAATGTGCCCATTGTAGACCAAGACATCTGTAAAGCATCCACCAAAGTTAAAGTCACTGATAACATGTTCTGTGCAGGTAAGCAGCAGTGGAGACACAGGGCCAACAGCCTCGAGCTCCCATGGGGCTCACAAAGCAAGGTTAATTTCTGATAAATTTGCAAATAATCTCCATAAAGAATAGCTTTCCTATGATGAGAACTTTCTCAGCTCTCAGAAAACATGAAGGCTGGAGAACTTAAAGCTATGAATAGTTTGTTACAGCACTCTATGTCAGGTTAACTACCCTAACAGCACCACTCTGCTAGACAGCAGCAACACCCAGGTGAGAGCTGAGCACATATAAAATGATTTTTCACCAGTAGATGGAAGAGTTCATTGACTTCCTAAATTAAAGGCCACACACCAGTTATCCTATGCAAGTAGCCAAAAAAAACCTTTCTCTGCTAGCTTGTTTGAATGTTTCAGAGCCTATTCATACTTAGACCCACAACTTCTGTGACAACAGGCTCCAGTTAAGCATGTGTGAACAACATAATTCCCCAGATTGTTACATTTCCTGTCTAACAAATTTGGGGAGGTACACATCTATACTCAAAACTTAGGAAAAAATATTTCTTCACCATGTCTTAATGTTATTTTATGAACCCTTTACAGCTCTGTCTTTTCTCCTCCAAGCTGAGCAGCAGTTATTTATGCTTTCCTAATACAGAAGGTGTTCTGTACTTCTGGTAATCCTTGTTGTACCTTCCTAAATCTCTTCTGGCTCTATACCAGTGTTTGAGAGAGAACAGAGGTGATAGCAGAATTCAAGATACAAAGAGATCATGGATTTATGTACTGGTTTAATACTTTCTGCTGCATCCTCCATTTGTGCAGCCTCTTATCAGTTTCAACAAGCAAATCTCCACCGACTTCTGACTGAGGTTGTGCTGCTTAGATCTGATATTCCATGGGATTGCTTGAGTTAGGATGGAAGCAAATTTCATGAGTGTACTGACTGTACAGTGTTCTTAAGGTTCTCAAAAAATAGCTGAGATGCAAGCAGGCAACAGAAAAGGGGAAGGAAACAAAGATGATGGGAAAACATGAAGATAGTGTCTAGCTCATCTGGAATTAAAGTGAAATCCTTTTCCTCTTCATAGCAAGACTGTAGCAATACAGTCAAGGGAGAAAGAGCAGAGACTGTGGAATGACAGGAAAGTGAGGACTGCAATGTCAACAGTACACATTGAAAGAACAGGATACATGGAATATTACACTCACAGAAGTTTCCAAGACCAAAGAAAGACACTGTAGCTCCAGCTATTGAACACAGCAACATCAATTCTGAAAGAAAACAGGGATGAGAGCAGAGGGTGGAAGAGTATGGGGGGATTTGGGAGTGATGGAAAAACAGAAGCAGAGTTAGGTCTTTTACATAAATTTAGAAAACTGCTTCATTTGTGTTATAAGTCCAATAGTTGGCAGAAGCAGTAAGCAATCCCACAGCTCTCTAGTAAACTTCTGCAGCAATAGCTTCAAGGAAAAGATGGCCAGCACCAGCCACTCCTACAGTCAATTGTCCAACTTCCCTCTTGCCTGTAGGTTACCGTCCTGAAGACTCAAAGAGGGGAGATGCCTGTGAAGGGGACAGTGGGGGACCTTTTGTAATGAAGGTATGTTCAACAAGTTCAAGCTCATGGAACACATGGAGCTAGGTTTGTGCTATGCTGAACTTCCATAATCCTCTAAAAAAGGGCAGCAGAGAGACTGCTGCGTGGCTGAAATAAACCCCCCTCATCACAAGCTGAGCGACTGAGGTGACCCCATCAGAGAAGAGCCTGGGGTGCACACAAGGCTTAGATCTGAAAGTCTCTTGCTCTCTGTGTGAATCCCATTCTTCTCTGCTTTAGAACCCAGATGACAACCGTTGGTATCAAGTGGGAATAGTTTCCTGGGGAGAAGGCTGCGACCGAGACGGCAAATACGGATTTTACACCCACGTGTTCCGCCTGAAGAAGTGGATGAGAAAAGCCATTGAAAAACATGGCCAGTAGAGGAAAGGTTGCCCTTGCTTGCTCTCAAGATCTTGAAGTCTAACAGTTACATCCTTCAACTCAAAGGAAGGTTTTCTCCCTTGAAAATAAAAGTTCTCAAACCCACCTTTTGTTCATGTTTAGTTGCACTTGAAACTAAGCCAGCAGTGGCCAACAGAAGTGCACTGGTTGTACTGCTAATGAGCTGTTGTGCTTCAAAAGTTCTCCCCTCCTATCAGCTATAGTCATCAACAGACTTTAGACCTCAGATGATGGCCTTAAAAATCAGTCACAGTAAGCACGATTGTGCCTTCAGGCACTGCCCCTTTCCTCCCCTTCAAGTCAACTAATTTTCTGTTCTAGAAATTGGGTCAAAATATACTGAAGGTAATCACCCTACAGTAACCATGGCACTACACAAAACATGAATACCAGTGTCAGAAGTGAAGAAACTATGACTTGTTTTGGTAAGACTGACATTGTTCTTGGCTGCAGTAGGGGTGCTGATATTGTGTGCTGTTGGCAAGGTTAGCATCTCAAGAAGTTAGATACAAGCCATATGTTATTCATCCTATACTCTATGGCAGCAATCTTCTGCATGGCAGGTGGTGCTGAGTCCTCAAAAGTGTATTTTCCACCTGCATGCAGAAAGAAGCTATTCATGCACAGCATTGCCAAAGGCCCTTCAACAGGAGCATCCTGCACTGCATCTGTTTCATTGTCTTAAAAAGCTTGTTTAGGGATCACTGCCAAAAGAAGCTTCAGATTTTTTTCACAAACTCCTCTTTAGCAGCAATTTGTAGGCCACTGATGACCCAGCAGTAAAAACATCCTTGACTAGCTAATTTGATCAGCACAATTTTTCTCTTTAAGTAATGACAAGATCTGGAAACTGTCCTTGCTCCCTAAAAACATCCCTGACTAGCTAAAGAGAAAAATTGTGCTGATCAAATTAAGTAATGACAAGATTTGGAAACTGTCCTTGCTCCCTATGACACAGTAATGACAAGATCTGGAAACTGTCCTTGCTCCCTATGACACCATATTCCTAAAGCTCCTCCATCACAGTGCCATCAAGTCACAAACAACAGTGAAATTTTGTTATGCTTCACACAGAGTATTAAGAAGCAGAGCAACTGTATTGAAAAAGTGACAGTAGTGGTAACTACCTGAAATTAGTTGGATGTAAACAAAGTTGTTGATGAATTACCATCTGGCCACCTCCTTACAGACGGTTAATTTGAGAACCAACTTGAAGACAGCCCAATTTTTCTGCTTTCTTTGGGCAAGCAAAGTACTTATCAAAGACATCTGAAAAAAGAAATCTCAAGAGCTTAAGTCCCACAACTGTTTAAAGTAATTGAGAAACACAGGCATCAGACACTCAGTATGTTCAGCCCTTCTCATGTATAAATTTTTAGCCTCACCTTTTCACTGCCATCTAATAACCTGAGAAACTGCATATCTAGGAGGGGAACCAGGACCATACATTTTTCTGGAGTAAATCACTGTTAATACTGACTTGTTACAAACAATACAGAGGAATAATTTTCAAAATCCAGTTTAATGTTATTTAAATATTGTCTGGGCTCAATATTAGGCTTTATTAATTTATGTGCACAAGTTTTAGTTCAGAACTCCCAGGATATTGAGTCCAACCAAACACTACAGAGACACAGGGCAAAAACTCATTCATAGTAAGCAACTGTATCTTCTGCTTCTCAATTATTCCTGTATTTCACTTCCAAATTCAGCTTCAAATTTAAAATAGTTGTATGCAGGCATCGCTGTTGTAACATCCTGAGCTAATTAACAAATAGGTCTTCAGACATTTGCTGGACATGGTAAAGGAACATATAGATTAATTTCAATGTCACTAGGTTTCAAAAAGCAGCTAGTAATTGAGAGGTAGTGGCAGTAACTCCAGTGCCAGCCAACACAAGCTATTCACCAGCAGCCCCAGTTTGAGTGTGCAAAGCCTCAGCACTTACCACTAAGGGCCAAACCTCCACTCGTCATACAGCTCTGTTCCAGGAGAAAGTGCACGTCCACTTCAGGTTGGGAGAGGAGACTACAACTACTAAATCAGGGTGGTGGAGCAATGAGTGGCATCATGTCCATCACCACAGGATGGAGAATGCTCACGAGTCACCTGCTGTCAGAGGGTACAAACTCACCGTAAGCACCGAGCAGCGCGAGGTCAACCCCAACCCCAGCCTCGGGGTCCTGTCAAAGGAACATCTCAGCCACTTGCAGCAGCTCTGGCACAGATCTGCTGGACAGGTACTCGTTGAAAGCCACATTTTTACTGTAATCAGGCAAGACAGTTTCAGTAACAGCCCTAATGCAGGGACTGCTGGTCCACAGAGCAAACAACAAAAGCAGCAGTGAAGTGGAACAGAGTAAAACCCAGAGCAGGGGTGTGCTATTTCAAGCCTGCCTGTCCTACTCTTCAATAACTCTGCTCCAGCTATGGAACAGATGTGCAATTTATGCTTCATGGCCAGCTCTCACCTGGAAGTGCAGTAGTAAGGTGAAAAGACATCACTTCCCTTGAGATGCAAAGGATTAGAAAGTCTACATAGTGCATGTCTTGATCCTCCTACTTGTAGCTTCTGAGAAAGGCTAAATCAGAAAGCATTCTTACAACAAAAGCAGTGGCTACAGCTTTTGCAGACTAGCATACCAGGTGTCTGAGTTAAAATAGTAGAGTTTGCTGATGTGAGATGTTTAAGAGCAAAAAGCACGTGGTGGTGAGGTCTACCTGCACAAGGGAGACTGCTTAACCAGATGAGTTCAGGGTAAAGGAGGCCACTGACCATACATCACTGCTAATCTACTCCATATCAACAGCAGCAGGCTCCCTCCAAGAAAGCATTTGTACACAGATGGGACTATGCTTAACCTGGGTAAAGGCATCAGCAGGACCACCTAATTTAAATTAAGCATTTCAGCAAACTAAATATTCTCAGCTTACTCTTGAGTTACAAAAACGTATTCCAAAACAAAAAAAAGCAACTAGAGTAAAAATGCACTGCTGCTCCTAGGAGTAAGAGTGCCAAGTCTCAGGATTGCATCCACAGTTAGTATATATTCACTCATCTTCCTCATCATATATCCAAATCCCAAGGTTCCTGTCAAGAATAACTTAGTTTCTAGATGCCCAGTCACTAACATTCAGGAATAGAGTGACTTCTCTAACCAGCAGTCACTGCTGTTCCTACACAGGCTGGTATAGTTAATGCAAACTTTATTTACAAAAGACACTTAAATTAGTTACTTCATGCCATGTGTCCATACAGAATCAACAGTTCAAGGATTACATGGAGAAGAATCCACAAAATTAAAAGTGAAATCGCTAAAGGTCTAAGAGTTAAGAACTAGGAAAAGATCTTAAGGACAATTTTACAAATAAAAAAACAAGTTATGAGAAACTAGTCTGAGCAAGAGGATGGTTGTTTACAGGTCTGTACACTAAAACTAATACACAGACAGCCTTCTATTGTCAAAGAGATGCTCACTGAGAAGCAGAGTATGTACAAATACTTGTGCCACAATGACTCAACCCCCCCAAAATCCACTGTATTATACATAAACCAGTTTGTATACATTAGGCCTAAATGAGGCCATTTAACTATGAAGATTGCTAGTTTAGTAAACTAAAGATGAAGACAGCCCCAGCAACAGCAACGCTGTCTCTCTCCCATCTCTATTTGCGACTGCTTTTTATTCTCTCCAATCTTTTTTTCAAGTCATCAATGTTAGCTGCTGCAGAGGAAGGTGAAGCCAGGGTAGTTCCAATGCCAGAAGAATGAGTCTGATTGGAGTCCAGGTCCAGATGTTGGTACTGCTCCCGTGACTCACGGAGCTGGGAGAGCTTACTGTGAAGCATATCTGTAGAGGATGCAACTGTAGGGAGTGCTGGTTTAGAGAGCAGGGATGTCAGAGGTGGTCTGTCTTCCTGCTACAGGGGAGGAAAGTCAAGTGTTAAGACAGGTAGTGGCAAAAGCCATGCAGAAGAACAAACAATCACCAATGGCTTCTCATCTTCACAGGAAACTGAGGAAAGGAGCAATACAACAGGGATGATCTGGAGCAAAGCCAGTTGCCAGGCAAAGCCATACAAAGCTAACTACAGTACTCAGTTCCTGTCACTTAGGTAGTTCATGTTTAGCTTCATGTCAGCAGGGACACAAGGCAACTACAGCCTTTAAAGATGAAAAATCCACAGCAGACAAGTGTTTTACTGAGGTGGCCTGCTGCAGTCTTGAACAGCCTGAATCCTAACACAAGAGGCAGAAGTCCCTGACCATGGGCAACACCAACAGCCAATGAGTTTTCTGGAGAATGTGAAGAGCAATCTTGCTTTGACTTGCAAGATCCACCCTGCCAAAGAGTTATAATAGTAATTTTACTAATTGATACTTCCATCTGTGTTAGTTGCCCTGTTACTGTCATCTGGGAAACATCTCCCCTCCTCCTGTGAGCTGATACATGCAAATTTCTGTTCAAGGTTCAAATAGTGTCATGCCTGGATGACTGTTCCTAGAGTGAACATCTCATGTGGCTGAGTGCAAACTTCAGCAAGCAGCACTAGATTCCTAACACACAGATCAATTAAGTCTTAGAAATTTTTGGCCTACAGGTTTCCAATATTAAGCTCATTTAGCATTTGTGCCCCAGTATCCATGCAGCCAAAACACATAAAACTTTGAATAAAGTCTTTGTTCAGCTCTATGGTTGTTTGAGCAGAGAGATCAAGAATTTTCACATCATTCAACTCAGAGATTAATATATTTAGAGAACAATCAGTTATTTGAACCTGAGACTCTACTATGTGGCAATGAGCTACAGGGCTGTGGAAAGAACCTGCATGTAACCCCATGCTGCAACATAAGCCTGCCTGGCCAATATTGAGTTTAAAGCAATTTATACTAGATAGGCATAGTGGCAACACAGTGAATAGCAAGGGCATGCAGTACAATGAAAGAACATCAATTCTGACTGGAACATGCCTCTGGCACAGAAAAACCAATCATTTGAATGCTTAAAAACAGTGCAAATGAAGTGCTTCCCCCAGGGATTTACAAGTGTTGTCAAGTGCAGTACCTTTGCATTGTCAAGGCCACAACGCTGCCTGAGGATTTTTAATCTTTCCAAGTACACTGAAGGCCCCACTTCTTCCCCATTTGTGTTTCCTATGGATGAAGACACAGTGTGGGTAGAAGCAGGAACACACGTTCCTTCCATCTGAGGAGATATTCCTGGAGGATAAGGAGAAGGGTGAGGGGTGGGGGGGAAGTAAAAAACAAAATAAAAATTTAAAAACATAAAAAAAAGTATAAAACTCTTTGGTCAGATCCTTGAAATAAGGTGCAATGGATGAATAATCAGTCAACCTATGAACTACCAAGCTATTTGCTTTTGCCAGTATAGGCATATCAGCCCTTTCATCTCCTTGCAAGAGTGATGGTTGAAAAACCAAGAAAAGAAATCAAGAGATTTAAAAAGTGGCAGCAGAGCAGCTCCAGAATTAGTGCTGAGGCTGACAGGTGAAAAAGACAGTGGGAGGAGAGGAAGATACTGACATGGATCAGCAGTAGCCATGATGTCCAACACAGAGGACTTGGCAACTGTCAGGATGGGAAATACTTGGAGACTTTTGACTTCTTCTAAGTTTTGTGGTACTTGTGGGCAGTCCTGCCCACTGATTGTAACTCCTCTTTACTTCTCATTCAGGCAGCTTGACGCTGCTGCTTCTTCCAATTCCATCTGACATAGTGATTTCTGGAAGGCATGTAGCAAGGTTTTGAAAGCTTCTCTACCAAAAGGCTAGGAAAGGATTTTTCATTCAGAGAAAGCCTTTCTATTCTAATATGAAAGGCAAGTTCCAAGACTTGCTGTGGAGAGAAATTTGTTTTCACTAGTTTACTGCAAGGGCATTTAAAATGGATAAAATGAGAATGATGGTTATTTTTGCCTAAATAGAGCACAGTTGCACAATCAAACAACATCCTTTATTATATCAAATTATTATAGTTAAGGAAGCAGGAGAAAGAGATAAAATTTGGGCATGCAAAATCCATTTTGAAATCTTAACTGTTGACCTAACATTTTTGTTGTTCAGATTTTTTAGGATGAAAGGTAGAATTTTCTGTCCTATTTAGTCTGATACATTTACAAAGTTCTGAAAGAAACTCAGACAATATTTCTAAAGTAACCTACAATACAGAGGAGAGGAGAAAAAAGCTACAGGATACAAAAATGTGAAAAGAAATAGAAGTTAAAGGTAGTTTTGCCAGACTGTCTCAGTTTTTACACCTAATTATTTGTCACATTCCCTCCCTAGCATTGCATTAAATACTCATTTGTGATTATCTGAAATGCAAAGACTCATTAACAAACTAAGATTTTTACAGTAATTTATCAAATTAAAAAGCTGAATTATTTGGAGAAGGGCCATCACAAGGACTGCTATAGAAACACTGCAAGTTATTTAAAATAAACTTTTCAATTCCACAGTAAACAAAGCTCTACCAAAAAACCTTCTGTACCATTTTAACCAAAAGGTAGAAGGAGAAGAATCTGACAACTGCTGCCGTTATAAACCAGCTTGGTTTTTGCAGAAACAATTCTTCATATCAGACATTTGAAACACAGGCTAATCTTCAACCCACAGTGCAGGATACAAATTAGAACCACTTGTTTACCAAGCCTTTCAGATGCTTTCTACATCATGTAGAAATGGTTATAATTTTGTTTTTTGTAAACAAAGAACACAAACGCTTCAACTTGTGCCTCGTGAAGCAACATAAATGCCAAAAAAATACACAGACTCACTTTAGAAATCCATAAACATCTGCAAACATAAATTTCTAAGCAGGGGACATGTAGCTGCTCTCCTCTCAGCTCCACTTCTCATAAAGCACTCACTTTTGCTACAATATGTACCTGTAGAAGCAGCAATTCGTCCTTTCCCCTCCCGCTCCGTTTCTATCAGCCGGAGGCCTCTTTCCACGTAGCTCTGGAAGAACTGAGAGGAGTTTTTCAGGAAGGGCTCAATGTCTGCATCAGAATATTTCTTTTTGTATTCATACAGCTCTGCCAGACCCTGAGAGGGGAAAGTTTCCATGCATTAGTACAACTGCTGCATACACCGTTCTAACCTCCCTTTTCCTTGCAGGAAGGGAGCACTTACCTCCTTAGTATTCTCCTTGGAGCCAATCTTCTTAAATATTTCTGCCAAAATATCATTAACTTTGGCCTTCGAAGCCTTTTCCTCCTAAATAAATAAATAAAAGGAGCCTTCTAAAGCAAAGTGAATAAAAATGAAATCCCACAGTGACATCAGATCTGTTCACTGGATATGGAGCTTTCAAGATGAAGAAAACCTTGAAGCAATGAGGGTTTTACATAGCCAGTGCTGAGACAGAATCAGAAAGGACATTATCAAGCTCTAGGACTCCTGAGAAGTCAATGATTAAATGCTTTTTTGGTTAACTTTTAGTACATCAAATGCAGTATCAGGCAGCATAAAACCTATGCTGCACACCTGAATGTCCTGGAGAGCACTTCACCCTGGGATAGGCACAGAATATTCAGGTAATAACAGAAACACTGCAAATTCCCAAAACAGCCAGAAATAAAAGTGAAACTAGAAGATTACTTCCAACATAAGCTGCATGCTGGAAAGGCCATTACTGCTTCATATTCCACGATCACAAACTTAAGCTTGTTCCTTAAATGAGTTGCCTTGCACTCATTCCACCTACCAACACACTGACATGACTTACTATACGAGAAGCTCCCTTTTCAGTATCCTTATCAGCCTTGCTTCCAGTCTGGTCCATGGAGTGTTTCATTACTCTACAGAGGTGAGCCTCCAGCTCAGACTCATTTTTGTTGTCAATCATTGTTAAATGATCTAAGATCTAAAAGGAGAAAAAAGGGAATACATTTAAAAAAACAAAAAGGAAGAGTTTTAGAGCCTGCATGAACATCCAATTTAAAAGTCCATGACTAGTCACTGCTCTGACCTTGGGCCCTTTCAGCTTGCACAAGGTGTGAAGCAGAGTCTTCAGTGTCCTTATAGGAAACTCACTCTTACATTGCTTCAGCTTCTCTTTGGGAAAGACCTTCATGAAAATGTGAATATCCAGCAGGATTCTATCCAGATTGATGCTGTTGATGGTTTCGGGTAGAAGACGCACCATCCTCCACAGACACTGCAACAAGAGGCTGACTTGAGACAGCTCCAGCAAAAAGCATTTCAGTAGACAAGGAGAGACTACAGATGACTCTAACTGAGCCACTTCACTCTTCTAGAGACAACAGTTTGCTCAAGCTCTGTTTGCACTGGTACATACTTCTGCTTTTATAAGTAGCTTTACTGCAACCAGATACTTCTTTAGAGCTGATGCATCAAAGTAGTGCTGACTTCTCTGCCAAAAACAGGCGACTAACCAGTGCTGTGCCTAAGCAACTAAGCCCAGCAGGTGACTGCACACCTCTGTATGGAGTTTATATCAATATATAAATGCTTCTTTAACTATTAGCAGCTGCTAAGCTCCCTCCTGGCATACATACAGTCATTATACATAACATCTCATTAAAAGATTTATTATGCATTTCATGTTATGGCCACCCTTTTTTTAAAGAATATATCTGTTCTTTCAAGTTAAGTTGATTCAGATAAATCAACTAAAAGCAAAACCTCTACTACAGGCTCACCTTCATGACAAGTTCTGAAAACTTAGGAGACTGGCTGGCTGTTGCTAGCAGACTGTCTTGGAGCAAAACAAGCAGAGCACTAGAAGGAACAGATTTATAATAGTTACACAGGAAAAGTGCTACACAAAAAAGCTGCCACCAGAGAATACCACACCACATACTGGGGATAGTGCAGCAGTTTACCTCGTGCTGTGTAACAGCTGCTTCTCTCTCTCTGGTATGTTCCAAGAGTTGAAGAGGCAGCCTGCTGAACT